AGCTCATTAGTTGTTCATTAGTTGTTCCAGGCTACGACTACAGAGCGTTAATCTTGTCAAATGAAGATAGATATAAGGCTGTCGTTGATGAATATATCTCATTATAAATCTTCTCTGTAACATGTAAAGCTATAACTGCGATGATACACTGTACTATATTGATATTCAGCTTCTATCTTATTGCAATTTAATGTACATTTTTCAATAGTTCATATGAAGACGATGAACTCGTTTGAAGAATCGTTGGCATATTGCTATTTTAGAATTTCATCACATGAGAGACATGACAAGTGCATTTGATTTGCAGATATCTACGCAATGTTGAATTGCAGAAATTGCAGAAATAACCAAAGTCCTTAAATTGTATTACTAAATTTATTAAAAGGTCAAATTAAAGCATTATTAATAAAGATGGTTATCTTAAAATATTATTACTTTCAATTGTAGCGACACAATTAATAGTCATTTAGAATTAACATTATGTATTTTGTCATATATATTTAATCACATGATGGCAGAAAAACAAAGAATAAAAAAATGACACAAAACTAATATGTATAATCTGATTTGCATTATGTGAACAATTTTTCTTATAGGATTGTTGTTTATGATAGCTTCACAAATAAGTTCTATGTCTTGCGTGTCAATCAAAATAACAAATTAACGATGAATCCATTAAAATAAAAGTATGAATAGCCTGTTAATGTTAATTTAAATTAAAAAGAAATATATATATATTTAACTTTCAGCTCTCATTTCCTTATTGATAATAGAATATTTAAGCAGACAAGAAAGTAAATTGTAATAAAATTAAATATATGCATAAATTTAAAGTATTGAAAATTTTAAAAGTGACATAATCTTTTCTTTTTCTTCTTCTTCTTCTTTTTCTTCTTATTCTTCTTCTTCATGCTGTATAATTAAATAAGTAAAACAAATGCATTTTCAAATGACTATGAAGAAAGTGAATAACTAAAAGTTGATCATGAGGCCTGTTCATGATACAATATAAATATGACCTAAATTACGAAAGACTGCCCCACTCTTTATCAGAAAAGAACGTTACCGATACATTGTGAACAATATTTACAACATTTTCCATTAGTAACGTATCATTGATTATGATTGTCACAGTAAAATATACAATTGAACACAATTATAGCACAATGTACTTTTACTTGATCACGCACCACTTGGATAAGCATAATGTCACTTTTAAACATATTTGACTTTGAGACTGAAATGGCAACCATTTGCTTTAACTTAGTTTATTCATATATTGTATAAATATGTAGTTATATGCATAATCCGTTTGTTCTTAAACTTCATGTTTTATTGGAAATTTTGGAGCAAAACTAGTGTAGTAGCGTTATGAAAATAATGTTCTGGAAACGATTGTTTCAAAACATTCTGAGAAAAAAGGAACCCTTGAGATCAATGAATACTTACGGCAACATGTAACATTGAAACCGTAGACTCAGTGTTGCATTATTGAGTATGTTAACGAGTGAACAAATTTGGAGAGCGTGTTATTCTGTAGTTTCTTTAATTAAAATTGAATAAAAAAGTTGCACTTACATTGATTAGATATTTTCACGCTACAACGACATCGCTTTTCCAATAGAATTTATTTTTAAAATGCAAGAATAATGATATGTGGAAGCAATGTAAGGCATCAACCTAGATGTTGTGTTCCTACTATTAATGTTACAAATTTGCTGAATTTAAATTTTTCAACCCAAAATCAACCGTATTAATAACTCTAAACTGATAACAATAAAAAGCCACTTTTTATTGAATTATTTTTTTGACAACCTCAGCCAATTTAGCTAAGGTTTGACCAGTACGCACAATGTATATTTGTAACTTATATTTCTGAAGTGGTGCTTAGTAAGCGCAATGACATGTACATGTATATCATTAACTTGGTGCTTTGATGTCTAACATTTTCGGAAAATAACCAATAAATTGCCCGAATTATGCTTCAAATGGAAATAATATAAGTTTCATGCTGTATTCCAAAAATCAACGTTAAATGGTGATTATGTTATCTATTTTATTCAAAAAAGAATGATAGATCGTTTTAATAATTTAAGCAAACAGTTCTAGAAGAAAAAAGATACACCAAGCCGAGCTTATTTCTGTTTTACTCTTTCGCATTTATAATAGACCGGACTTTGAAGCGTAAGCGACCGCTATTTTTAAAGTTGTGTACTTCAGCAAGAAAAAATAAAATGTGTTTATCATGAACATCAATTTTGTATGTGGACAGAAGTGTATTTTAAGACTGTTAAAATGAAATTAGAGACGATGTTTGTGTGATTAGTAAACTGAATGAATAGAAGTTAGTTTAATTTTCTTTTTATTACGTTTGAAATTTAAGTTATTAATCAATTTCATCTTTGGTTTGATCTTAAACATGCCTGGCAATGTCGGAATTGTAAGCAAAAATAAAATTAATGTACCGCATGGGAATTTGTTTTTTAAAAAGTAGCCACTTCATTGAAAAGTATTAAATTAAAGTTTGATAACTTACACTGTGAAATTATCAAATTAATATAATTTTCACGGATAAATCAGTCATCCACTCAAAAACATCAAATAAAAACATTGTGTTATATTTTAATTAAAACAGGGGAATACAGAATCCTTAAAAATGACCAAAGCGGCAATGTTGAAAATGCTTAAATGCTCGGTTCAGTTGAAGACCATTCCTCTTTAAAACCTATTTCACAAAACACGGAACTAAAATGAGCTTACCAGGATGTAATGTGCGTGTTGACAAAATGATTAAACTTAAGTACAAAATATACTGACATGTATAATAGTAACTAAAACTAAATAGAAAGGTCACAAAAACAGATGTTTAAATATATTTATTTTACAATTATCTTCAAAAGCCTAACAACTTAATGGTTTTCTTTAAATTAAAGATATACTATGCTTATCTTACGGTTAAAAAAACCTTTAAAACATGTATTACAATCTGGGACATTCTCAGTATTTATTACAAATTTGAATACGAGAATGCACTCACGGTGTGTGAGTGGCTGCATTACTATATAAGTGGTAAAGTTAATGTGGTTCTACCTTATAAAAACTGCCATGTTTTTAAATTTAAATGTGTAAAGTTGAAAACGAAATATCGCCGCGTCCTGACAAAACCAACATAATGGCTTTGCGACCAGCATGGATCCAGACCAGCCGGCGCATCCGCGCAGTCTGATCAGGATCCATACTGTTCGCTTACAAACCCTGTAACAAGTAGAGAAACTGATAGCGAACAGCATGGATCCTGATCAGACTGCGCGAATGCGCAGGCTGGTCTGAATCCTGGCTGGTCACACACCCATTATGTTGGTTTTGTCATGACGCGGCTCATTTGTCTTCTATGTGTGTACTCAAAAGATTTTTATTGTGTATTTAAACAGAGTCTTATAGCAATTAACAGCTTTTTCAAATATCAAATTTTAGCAAAATATATATTTTATATGTTTTTTATAAATATATCAAGAATTTGACATCAAAGTACGTCAATTAATAAACAAGGTTCCGCTAATTTTGTAAGAAATATTTACAACTTGTGTATCAACGTATTTAGTAAATTGAAAAACAAAATGTTATTCATTTTTCATTACAACTACATGTAACGTATACTATTAAAAGTGCCCTCACACATAAACCACGATCTTACTGCGACCTGAAAACTAGTAAAATAGCATTTTTCTTTCGAAAATCGTTGGTTTTCTTTCAAATTTCTCTCGCAGACGGTCCGGAGCTCTGCAGTCTAGTGTTCAGTACGTTTTCTCTATGTCCTCAATACGACCCTTCTACGTCCATGGCGTTTCCACTGCGACTGTATTGCGTCCCCAAGGCGACCCCACGGCGATCATCGGCGACCCAGCTTCGACTGTGCTATGTTCTCTGCGTCCTTACGGCGACTCTACGACGACTATTGCGTTTGTCCGGCGACTGTCCTGCGACTGTACGACAACACTACTACGTTCTTGCTACGTCTATAAAAACAATACTTTTTACCAGTAAATTTCATTCTGAGTCTGACCTTACGGCGTCCTTAGTACGAGTGTACTACGTCTATTGCGTTCTTATTGCGTCCTTACTACGATGCTGCTGCGACTATGGCGACTCCACTGCGACCTAACCAGGACTCAGCAAGAACGCAGAGTTTCTGCGACTGTTTTGTGCATGTTCAAAATAGTCGCCGACGGTCCGCGACCTTGTGCGTCCTTGGGTTCCTCGCTACGACCTCGCTGCGTCCCTGCTGCGTCCATGGCGACTGTGCTGCGTCCTGGGTCGTAGCAAGGTCGCAGTAAGGACGCAGTAAGGTCGCGAGGTATGTGTGAGGGCAGTATAAACTAAGATATGTAGGGCGTTTCTTAAAATCAGAACAGATGATGACAGTAAATTACCGTAAACAAATTTTACGTGATCCCCCACCCTGTTTATGGTATTTTTAACCTTATTTAGGGGAATTTCAAATATCTTTTAAAGTAAGAAAAAGTACATGTACGAAAAATATTTTGTTTTGTTTTCATGAACGATTTTTTTTTGTTGATGTTGATTGTTGGTTTGTTTAGGTTATTTTTGTTATCTTTTTTATGTTTGTCTTTTTGTTTTCTTGACATTCTTTAGATAAAAGGGTAGAGTGCTTTTGTATGAGACATTAATGTGACCTTACAATCTAAAGAAATGTTTATGTAAACATTGCACGCAATTTTTTATTTTTTGATCAACTGATATTTTTCTTTTTCAACCAAAAGTTAACAAAGTCATACAAAGCAAGAATGTTATGAATTATGTTGAGTGACTCTAGGCTGACCAATGAAAAAAGGTTTAGTCACATACATAGTATACATGTACTTCCTCTTCAAACATATGATCTTAATTTTTTCCTTATCAGAGTTGTTATTATTCTTTTTATTTCAATATCATATTAAAATAATGATGTACCCTTTAGTATTTTAGGAAAACAGTCTTAGACAATTTGATTTTTCTTCCAAAATAGATGCTTCTTGATCGGATAATAATGAAAAGGTCAAAGTTCATACTTCTGGACTATAAAAAAACGCCCGAAGTAAGTTGTTGTCATATCCCAACCTACTTGCCTTCTGGATCTTTGTCAGATGTAAGTACGTTGTTTATTTTATTTTAAACAATGATTATACTTAACCAATGTAAATACGAAATAAATTATTATACTTAAATAGAATGGGCGATATAATTGAACTATTTATAAGAAAATCGTAAAATTATTTAAGGTCTCATTTAGTTTAAAATTTATTGTTTTTGAAACACAGATCGCATAATACGATAGGAATATTTAGAAGTATTGCAGTGTGCATTTTTAAAAGGAAATAGATGCTTAAGAAATTGTTCAGATTAATCTTTACACAAAAATTATCTTTGTTTGAGTGCATTTTTTTCTTTTGTCTTTTTTTAAGAAAGCGTATTTTACCTTTTAACTGTTTTATGCTGAAAACAGTTGATATGTCACGAGTATAGAGTCGTTTGCAGACTCTTTACATTTGATATCATTTATTTTAATTTGATACTAATAATTATATTGCTTGTTCAATTATGAACTTTTTTACAAAATAAATCTTTTAATTGCTAAATAAAACACTGCACTAATTGCTGTTTTGTTGTAGTTGTCTACAAAAGTCTTTTTAACAACTTATAGGCTGTATAATATCAACGCGAAACAATCTTACTTAACTAAGGCAGCGCGTGAAAGCTTACTTAAAAAAGTGTAACTCAATCGTTGCTTGTAGTTTATAGCCTCATGTAAACTTTTTTTCTTTTCTTTTATTAAGTTCTAAAATGTAAGATAACAATATATCGTACTTTTTATCATATTTTCGAAATTTATTCATCGTTATTCCAGATACCAGATATGAACAAGCTGATGATATGTTCGATCGTTGCCATTCTTGTAATGAGCTCCGTATTTCCAAGAGGAGATGCATTTATCTTGGACTGTTGGGAAACATGGTCTCGCTGCTCTGGGTGGAGTTCCGGTGGAACAGGTCCGGTGTGGTCGTCGTGCCAAGACAAATGCGAAGAAAAGGGTTACAGCACAGGCACATGCGAATCTGCTGATTCTAACTGCCGGTACGTGGACAAAGCCTATCAATGCAGATGTTACGGCAAAACTTCTGGAGGTAGTGGTAGTTCGGGAGGCTGGTGGAAAAGAAAGTAAATCGCTTATACTTGACTTGTGCTGAGCTGCCATAGATAACTAAGACGGAATAAAACACAGATATTTTCAGACATTTTAATTTTTTCATTTTTATTTTTATTATTTTAATTTATTTTCCGAAATTAAATATACTATCAAAATAAGACCATGTGCAGTAAAATGTTTTTCAGCAAAAGAAAATGTTTAAGCGTTTTGTGAAATAAATTGATGCTATTTTATGTTTGTGTTTATGTTTTATGTTTTTTATGTTTATTCTATGTTTGTGTTTTATATTTATATTCCACGTGTCATACCTCCTTTCCTTATTACAATGAAATTTTACTGGATTGTTATCCATCGCTGGTTTGTTTTTAGCAGAGAATGACCTGTGCATGTGCAAAGAGGGTACCGTTTGAGCAGATTTCGCAAAGATATGGATATGCACCGTGTTACCATAAAAGTAAAGATATCCCCCCCGCCTTTCGACACATACTCATAATCATATACTAACGGTAATTATTAATTCTCCATCTATATAATAACTATATCAATGAAAATAAAATTAATCTTTCTTTATTAAACATTCATCCATATATGACAGCAAAATTATGAAATAGGTCAATTACATAATTTTACAAAGTATTAGTTTTGTGTGTTCGACCATGCTAATTAAAAGACTGTAAAATAAGAAAGGGGAAGGAAGATAACTCCTGATGTCATGCTGCAAGGATTTCCAATTTGCACTACAAAGTTACCTCTCTTCCCATTCCATAGTATATAAAATTATTTACATATTACAACTAAAGTAATAAGAAACCATTGATAATCTTGTTCTGAAGAAACTTCTTGTAATAATGCTTTGTATGATGGAACACTAGCAGTCTTTCCTTATTTTCCACATTTATTACTATACAATTGTTTAGTGAATATGATATTTCATCTTTAACCAACATGTTGGACGAACAAGTGAAAACTTAAACAAATTGCTAATTTTCCACCGTCAACATGTGCAGAACTATGCTTGAGATTCAATGTATATTCGAATATAAAATGACACTAAACTTCCCTAAATGATCAAGGTAAGACTGTCTTTCGGGACGTGTGACCATAATTAGCATTTTTAACTCGATATACATTGGTAGATGCTATTATAATGGCGGTTGCTGACCCACGTGGTATGGTGTACTTATTTAAATCTACATTTGCTTTAGCTATAACACCATCGTTTACTCATGTTCAATGAAATCAGAGTTTTTGAAATATTCTACAGCTAAATTAAATCTTTACTGGAGTTCTTCCAGGATAAGAAACATACTTTTTATGAATATATTTTGACGTAATGGTCGTCCGTCCGTCCGTCTGTAAGCAATTTCGTATCGGGTATGTATCCTTTGAACCGGTATAAAGGTAATTGAAACAACTTGGCAGAATTGTTAACCATAATGAGACTATTTACAGAGAACATCAAAGTCAAAGTCACAATTACTTATTTTGTATAAATTTAAAAAGTTCGTGTTCGCTCTGTATCTTTTGATCATATAGAAAGAAATTAAAACTATTTGTGGCAGAAATATTATTTATAATGAGACGATTTGCAGAACACGGGCTTTGGTTTCCTGAGATCAAAGTTTGCCCCGCGCCCTGAGGATTACTTTACTTTTATATAAAACAATTTCCTATTGAAACAGCAAACTAGAGCTCCGAGACATCACAAAAAGCTGCTTTCAATCATTTTAAAGTTCACGTTCTGAATTACCAGGTTAATATCATAATGTGTAGTGGAAATTGCAATGTTTGTTTTAAAGCAGCACGCCTATAATTATATTCCTGCTCATTTTGAACATGTATTAAACAGTAAAATATTGTAAAGTGAACAAAAGAAGGAAGGAATGTTGAGGAATGTTGAGGAAGGTTGAACTATGAGAGAATTTTAACAAAAATGACTGGTGTGTTGAAATTTGAGCACTACCTTGTTCATTTTGCAAAAGTTTAACAGCAAGTCCTTGATTATTTAGAATCGCCTTAAGATAATACTAATGCATTATACTAATGAAATATCCGGAAATTTGCACGAATCTCTATTTATTCCGTATTCAATATTAACACTCAAGGGCTTGAAATCAATGATTCCAAAGGATGAAACTTATATCACACCGCTTACTTCTTTTATATTGCAAAGTATTTTTTCTTTTTTCTTCTTATTTTTCTTCTTCTTTCCTTCTTCTTCTTCTTTTCCTTCTTCTTCTTCTTTTTCTTCTTCTTCCTCTGTCTTATTCTCCTTCTTCTTCTTCTTCTTCTTCTCTTTCTTCTCCTTCTTCTTCTTATTCTCCTTCTTCTTCTTCTTATTCTCCTCCTCCTTCTTCTTCTTTTTCTTCTTCTTCTTCTTATTCTTCTTCTTCTTCTCCTTCTTCTTTTTCTCTTTCTTCTCCTTCTTCTTCTTCTTCTCTTTCTTCTCCTTCTTCTTCTTATTCTCCTTCTTCTTCTTCTTCTTATTCTCTTTCTTTTCCTTTTTCTTCTTCTCCTTTTACAACTCTGTAACAAATTCACCAATAGCGGTGTAAACAACAGAGACAAGAGAAATTCGAACACCCGTTTATTTTACCATGTTAATGAAATACAATGAAAATTGCAACATGCTATTATTAAGTCTTATCTTGGATGATTAATTGTTAATTAAAACTTTCGAGTACGTCGAAAACAAAATCTTCTTCCATTTAATACATGATTATCATAAGACTTCAGACACATATATGGTACTTAGCTAAAGTCATTGAAGTCTATAACAAACGCATTTTTATATAGTATTTCAACATGGCATCAGACACACATCTTCACGTAAAAAAAATAAATGAACAAAAATAAAATGTTGCTTCAAGGTTTGATGATTTTATATTAGTTCTCTAAAAGTACAAAGCAAAATATGTGACAGGGATATTAAACTTCATTGAGATTATATATCGCTACCAAGCTTTTTGTGAACCATACTGCAGTAATGAGGTAAAGAGTAATGTTGTTGTTTTACAGTCAAAACGGAGTATTTCGACTTCAATGCTCATGTATACATCATTGGTATTTCCAGCTAAAACATTACAGCAGCTATCAGTTAAAGGGAGACACAGGCAAAATTTACATATGATCTATTTGAATTTTTCATCAAATATTCTGTAAATGTCCTCAAAATATATACACTATGTAGTCTGAGGAACAAACATTTTCTCTATATAATAAACAAGAAGTATCTTTAAAAAGATACGCGGCCGAGGTCAAACTTGTTACCTTGCATAGGATAAGCTACTACTTACCGCAAACAGAACATTTTTCGTCCTCAATAATTTTAGTTCAGTTCCTTTTAATCCGCAATGTTTTTCCCCATTGTCAGCTTAGATTTAAACAATATTACTTACATTATTTGATTTTTTAATCAAAAAGGAATTTGTTTTGAATAGGAATTCATAATAAAACAAAGTAGAAGTAAAATAAAGATTTAGTAGATCTATCATGTACACTAATTCCACGGAGGATTTTGCAACTGTAAATTATTCGAAAGTTCGTTTCAATCGTCATATGCCCGGTTCGAGAAGAGAATATAATGACTAGAACAGCTTAGAAGAGAAATCCAATCGAACGCAAAAGTATCAATAAGGCGATCATATTTAATGTTATATATGTATTGAAAAGCTGTTGCTGTTGTAAACAAACAAGGTTAAGTATAAAAACGCACTAGTACGATGGTCCAAATGTGTTGGCACTTTGAAAAAGAACGGGATGATACAATAATGTAATTTTAATTGTACGACAGCACATTGGTAAAGTCACTATAGAATGGTACGATAGCACGGTTTTGAAAGGGTCTGAGAAGATAATAAAAACGCAATGTTACTAACTTTATTTGCAAGACAGCAACCTAACTATCTTGTCACCAAACTATCGAATATTAGTATTTATTTTCGTGCCACCGCCAATTTCATTTGCACTATCGTAGTATCGTGTTACGTGGCTAGGGTTCAAATTGTACACTGTAAACTGATGTGAAACAACGAAGACTTTGCAAATGAAAAAAAAAGCTTGACATTTCATTCAGTTTTTTTGTACCGATATTGCATTTAATCGATTTATAGTTAAATTCATATATATCCAAGACATGAAATGCACGTAAATGTAAACATTGAATCCGTGAATACAATGGAACAATTCTCGCCTTGGAAATAATTTCAACTCGCAATAAAACTTTCATCAAAATATTTTCAATCCTTTAAAGAAACAAAAACATGATATTTGAGCTACTGGAAGCCTTGTTTATCTGAATAATTGTTTAAATAAAGATATTTTTACGTTATTCGCGGTGAAGATGGTGCTTGTTATCGCTATAAAATAATTTTGAAGAGCCAATAAAATCTGCTACGAATATATTACTATAATAGTGCAGTCAATTAAAGTGTTACAGTTTGATTATATTAGAATGGTTAGCACAGTTCTTTTTCTTGAACAGGTGAAATGTAGTGTGTAATAAGAATAAGTACATGTAGAATGCCATGCTATCATTATTTTTTTACATCAGCCTTCTTTGTACTATCGAAGCCGTAAAAGTCGTTTAATGAGAGATATTGTATTTCTAGTCATTAAAGATCATTCAGCAGCAATGATCATGTTTTTCAAGATCCTTCAATCTGATATTTTTTAAGTTAACTGGTATTACATATTGTATGACAACCCGTATTCGTTTAAGTAGGCCGTGTAATAGTTTTAATGATAATAATATATTGGAGCCGATTCAATGTGTCTAAGATGCTTGAGAATTGAAAGGAGCAAGTCTTATCTAAATGGTTTCAATTATAACTGCCTTTATTCCAGAACGAATAATGCACTTAAACAAATTTAAGAGTTTTCTGTAAGCCTAAGATAAGGATATAGTTTCTTCTAATCACTGATGAAAATTGGCTTGTCTGCTCTGTAACTGATAATATCAGAAATATTACCATAAGTGTAGTCAGTGAGTTTATGTAGTAAGATAGTTTTCAGTTTAGCTAACCAACAAATCGAAAAATGGTTGCTATTCTGAGAGACTTTGGGGAACAACGAATATTTCTCTAATTTAAATTGACACTTTTCAGACGCTTGCTTCACGCCATTAATAGAAAGGCTTAAACAAATAATTACATGTAAATGATAAGACGCTATCGTGTGAGTTTCGGCAATTTTTAGCGACAAATTTAGTACAATAACAATCATAATTGGTAGC